CTTCTCGTGGCTTCCACGTGACCTCCAGTTGGCTCATAAGCTTTGTATAAAAATGTAGGATATCATTATACGTAGATCTAGGCGGTGGTTAAGATAGTATAGGCGGAGGTTAATTGCGTTGTTGCAGTGTTGAAGTATCCTACTTGTGGAATTCTAAAAGCAACCTCTAGTGTTAGTTTTAAATGAAGGGTTTCGGGGGGGGGGGGGGGGGCGCTGTTGTGTTAGAGAGTGCGGTTTAGTGTAGGGAGATGAGGGCATCACGCTCCATCGATTCAAGCCAGCACGGACAACTACATTGCGTGGCCGTATGAACCAATATGCAACGATGGGGGTATGTAGCAAAATTGTTTTACTGAAAGCCAAATGAGTGTCTTCAAGAATGGAAAGCGTCCACGTATAGGATGTGTCACGGTTTTATCGCTACCGACACCCGTGGATGAATCAAGTGACATTGATGTCCAACCTAAAGTAGAATCTGAATCTAGAGTACTTTCTTTGGTAGTTAACCTTGACAATGATACCAATGTTACGGTAAATGAGAAGTTGCTTGTTGTGTCGTGCGATAAAGACAGAGATACTAGGTGTGATAAACATAATGTAAAAAAAATCGCATCTGTATATGCATATGAAAACATGCCAACAGCATCATCACCAGCAAAGATCGATATTTTGTCGTTGGCGGCGACTTCCACACGGGGCAGAGGGCGAGACCAGGGAGATGTGGATATAGCTAAAGTATTTAAGATAGCACTAATAAGTGGTCGTGTCTTGTTGATTCATAAAGAATTTCGTTCACTAAGTGATATAGCATCTCAGTACTTACAAAGCATTCGTGCACAGAACATGAATCACGATGGATGGGTTATGAATGTCAGTGAGTATGAAACTGATCTCATATTCACGCGGATACTATACTTTCCGGCAAGTACTACTCCTGCCATGCAGACAGTAAATATACTCTTTGCTGGTGCATGGACTAATCAGCTAAAACCCATGGGCAAGTTCCACATCACATATAGAACACCATTGCCAAGGCGATATGCTTGTCCACGATCGAATGAAGTAGAATCACAAAAAATAATCGTACACACACGCCATAACAAAACACTTAGTACATGGTCAGATGGTTTGAAATCTGATACTAGTGTAATAGAAACCTTAAACTGGGAGTGGAAGTCGTTGAATAGAAGCTTTACTTTACTAGGAGCACCGGAGAAATCAACAAATATGAAAGTGAACGACTGGCGGGACGGTATGCGCAAAGCAATGTCGACAGAGAAGTCGATACGTCCGAGTAGTAAAATATCGAGTAAGCATAGGCATGCTACTTCTGAAGACACTACTACTAAATCGCTCGCACTAACAGACATTGCTCTAGCGAGGCCTCAAATGGTCGAAGATACTACTACGAAATTAGTGAGTCCTAGAGTGACAGCAGCAGAGGAAGAAGGACCGAGTTCTGCCAAAAAGCTCAAGTTCTGACTAACGTATGCATATGTATGAATTGTCTACGTATATGTATGAAGGCATATATTCAAACTCATTTATACATAGCACACAACCATATGTGTATATAGCAATGAATCACCTAAAAATTGATCTATTACATAAATAATGTAAATTGGGCGTGTGTATAATATGCGTGTATATGATATATTGCAATATACAAACATACAAACATATATATAACAATAACATAGTATACACAAACATATATTCATTCATACATAAATTATGTAAATTGAATGTGTGCATAATATGCGTGTATATAATATCTTGTAATATATAAATATACAAACTTTTATAGCAATAACATAGTCCTAAACATATAATATACTGACATACATACTTAATTATACTCATGCGCATATATATATATATATATATAGTACGAAGTAGGTACTATTTATTTGTACAGCTTAGATTTCTTCGCATGATTTATTGTTGGCTTGGAATGCTGCGCACGCCTTAGCATGGGGGAGTAGGCTTTAAAATTCTCGTTTAGATGCGCCGCAGATGGACGCTGTGCACCTATAGAGTTTTCTAATTAATTTGGTCGCTGATTGTCGTGGCAATGGCAGTGCTTGTGAGTAAGGTACAGTGAAGACATTATCTGTGTCAGGCTGGACTGGTATTGTGGTATGTACACGTTTGTGAATCTAATTGTGTGTGTCCGTATGTGCTATTGGTTTGCGAGTTTGCGTATGTACTGGAGTTTGTTGTGGTATACGTGCAGTTATATTCAAGGTGTTACCGGAATCTCCGGGCGTGTAAACATAATTGCAGGTGTGTTTGGTAGCGTGGGGCATGGCTCTTGGTCATGAGGTACTACAGGGCGTATATATACATGTACTGGTGTTTCCATTTATGTAGCGCGGTTGAAGTCCGGCCCGTGCGGTCGCGAACGCATGTGTAATGCAAACTCTTGTATCTGCGACGCCTGTTGTATATCTGTCTCATGTGTCTCATTTATGAGTTCGTGTTACTGGTATCTTCTGCGAATATCGCACAAGTCTTAGCGTGACTTGACACGCTGATGAAAAATGCATCACAGCCTCCGCATTGTTTACAGTTTGAATTCTTCAAATAGATGACTTCGACTTGTATTTTTTTTTTGATGTTCTCCAGAGTTGTAGCATACTTGTCCGCTCAATTATTCCCAACGTCACGTAGTAAGCGTTGTAAGCCAATTTCGGCGGAAACTTTATCTGCTGTATTTATACCCTGTTTATACCAATTGACGCATTTCACAGCAGCCTGTTCACTTAGTCGCACTGTGTCGTTCCTACCACGTTGCCTTTTTTGCAGTAACGTGGTTTTAGCGTATCACGATACTCGGGATGCACATCCTCAGCACGAGCTATTTCAAAATTGAATTGATTTTGTTGATCGCCACCGTTCTGCGGCAAAGTTGAAATCCATTGCAGAAGCTCAAGACAGCTTCTACAAGAATGTTGCCTTGTGCGGATTCTGTATCGTTAGTAAAGATATGTTTCGTTCCTGTCCCCTTCTCTTTTATCGTGGCAGTAGTATATATAGACTCCATGTCAAAGGGCAGCAGCTCCTTGTCGTCAGGATAAATAACAACTACAGGTAGGATTCCGGTTTGTGAGTGGATAATCATTCCGGTTTCAGTAATAAAAACATCGGGTATCTCTTGGGCGCCGTGTACCGTGGTCTTCTTTTTCATTGCTTCACACTTCTCCTCGAAAGGATCTGTACTTCCCACCAAGAACACAGCAGTGTCCTTAATCGTTCTCGTGCCCGCTTTTTTGTTGGGATCCCAGCGCACTAATGCCTTGAAGATGTCCAATGGACAAGTAATGTTATTCATTGACTATATCCAGTTATTGATAAACCGAGCTACAAATGAAAAACATACATCGAGCACAAACTTCTCTATGCGTAGAGGACTTATAAAGTGATTTTTATGGAAGTATTTCAAATCATGAGCGGTTAAATTGTATGTATGTAAGTATATTTCAAATCATGAACGAATATAGTAGTTAGAATCAAAACCCAGCCCATACTCTGTTGCGCCTCAGTGAATAGCCATTGTACGATACGTAAATCATGACCCATGTCTTTCAACTTTCTGTTTATCCGCAAACACTCCGTGAAGTTTTCTGTTGCTGAGAATGCTCCGGCATTGTCGCTCTGCAATATAATTACATTCTTATTCGGAAACCGTTTCTTGATGTGCAGGACTAGCCCCTCGATTGCAATCTGTACACTGTCACAGTTTTGGTCGTGGTCCGTCATTATCATATCCAAGTATCTGAGAGTATTAATTTGTTATGGTAATTAATTATATATTCGAGTTACATTTATGAGTATCAAATCAGTGGTGAATATACGAAAGATTATAATCAATGTATGCTTACCTGGTTTTGATCGGCTCGCCCATCTCGTCTCTGTATGTTATCGCGACTCCGTGTGGACGGTGACCCTTCTTATCAAAATATTTGGTCATATCCTCGTTGTACCATTAGGATAGAATGTTTTGTTTATGGTCGAGAATAACGTGTACCGTTTTTGTGTCTAGACTTACTTATACTTGCTCTATATAGTGATTTCGCCAGCTACCTCTGGCTGTGTGATTTTGAAACCGTAATATCTCACTATTAATGATATCTCGTACTGGTAGAATGGAGGCGAGCTCCACAAAATCCATTTCTTTCCCGTATTCATCTGTAGCGTGCGTATCAGCTAGAGGCGACAGAAAAGTTCGGAAGTCGAGGCTCTTATGTAAGCCAGGCATGTCTGCATTCACAGGGCCAAATTCAGTCCGCGTGTTGTGACGACCGTTCATTATCTTTGTTGTTATAATGTGTAAGCTGCGTCGCACATGCTTCTCTATTCATGAGACGAGTGGTAGCATCTTTAAACACTCTCCACATTTAAACTCATGTGTCCTCGTGTATTTGTCCCCCCCCCCCCCCCCCCCCATTGCCCGCTCAAGGCAGTGAAAATAGTCACCGTCACATCGTGTTGCATCATGAATACAATATTTAGTACAATATTTCTTGATGAATGTTTGTAGCTTCTTCACTTCTTCGTCGAATACTCAATAGTCTTTACAGAAATCGATCAAGAAATCAGTATTATTGATGAAGGTAGTGAAGTAATAGGATAGTCCAACTTGTTGTTTAGCTTCCTTGGTGACTATATCTAATAAACTATAGAACGGCCGCATACCAATTTGCTTGTATGTTTCATCTCCAAATGTAATTGGGATAGGTTGTGGTGTGATGTCTGTGCTCTGTGTTAGTGTATGTTTCATCTCCAAATGTAATTGGGATAGGTTGTGGTGTGATGTCTGTGCTCTGTGTTAGTGTATCGTTTGCTCGTTGTGCTCTTGTAGAGAGATGTGCTCGGAGAGTTTTCGGCCCAAAGTGCTCCTCGTAAGACTTCCACATCACCTCCTTGCCATATTTGCGCAGCATATATGGTACATCCTTTAAACAAGCCTTCAAATATCGGGGATTCCTCAGTTGCCCCGCGCTAAATCCAGTTGTCATATCCGAAATATTATGTACCCAGTTTAAAGCGTACAAGAAGTTCGCAGATCCGGTCTAAAACATGTGTGCACATGGAAAAAAGATAGATATATTAAGCTCCAGTGACATTACTTAGGGGCTACTAAGAGTACTCTATTGAATCTTTCAGTATATCACGCTACATACCCCAGGCTTGTATACGGCACGTTCGGATATCTTCTGGCCTTCAAGGAGATCTTCCATGTCTATCTGGGCCCTGATAGCATCATGAGTTCCAAACTTAGATATCGGGGTGACTGGATCGTCGTTGTTTTCGTCTGTTGGTGTTTGTGGTCTTTCGCGTGTAGGACTAGATTCATATAGCGACTTTGCATCATCGAGTGCTTGTATCACCAATATTGGTTTTAGGTTGCTGATCAGTATGCAGGAATCAAACAACAGCGCAAACATTGTTCTACGAGTAATACTACTGCTAGTACATACGGCCACATCTGACAAAGTATTTATGTGCTGCAAATCTTTCTGTTCCTTATTTTCGACGTTCACGACGAGTTTGTAAAGTAGAGAACTAGCCCTTACATCGTTGTTGTACAGTGTCTTACACAGTTGCTTCACTAAACCACGTACATGTCCCACGATTGCGTCGACACCTTTATATTGTAAGGCGGCAAAGGACATCTGATAGTAAAATGGCTGCACCTTATCTCCAAGGGCTGTATACAAATTGTCTATCGAAGTTTTGTACTATGTGATTTTGTCCTTTTCAACTTCCCGCTCTGCCGCAGCCAAGACAACAACTTCGTCTTAGTCAACAACTTCTTTCTCACGAACTCTGTCCACGATTTCTTTTACCCCTTTTCTGGCCCTTGTGGTTGGTTGTGTGACAACAACATTCACTACCCTTACAAGCGTAAGTATAGTCATCGCCACAAGGAGTCTCGCATCTAAGACATCGGCTACATTTTTCGCATTGGCCCCTTTTGTGGCGATGTGTTGCAATAGGGCAGGGCCAATATGTATCAGGCTGTGCTGAAATAGTACTAGATTCCGACGCCATGCCTGTGTAGCTAAAAGTATACCAGTAAGCAGCAGCCACAAAATGTACACGACTTTCCCTAAATATCTATGAAGAGACAGTACTATATGTGCATATTTGAATCATATTTTACCATGCACCATCGTAATTTTGAAACCTTTTTGGGCGGGCTTTTGAATTTGAACCTATTTATATATCAAAAAACCTATTCTTAGCACAAATCGGTCACATATTACCAACGTGTTGTAACTACCTAGTATAGCTAACTTTTGAACGGACATAGCTACACTAGTACTTCCAACGAGAGATCGTCTTTGAAATGCCTAAACTAGCGTTCTCTACCTTCTGATTGGTCATATATTGCGATGCCGGGTTAAGTCAGCAGCTGCCAAGGTTAACGCATTCTGGGTCATTTGTACCGGAGTAATTTTTCTTCTTCACGAAAGTGGCTCTTAAAGATATGGCAAAATATTATGGAAAAAGCGGACACACACTATATTTGCAACTACGTCACCCAGTGTGGTACTTAAATCTTGTCCTACCCACTTGTCCCCTGGTCATAGTAAACCACAGTTGATCGACAGTCGCCTCTCTACCCAGACATGCACCGGTACTCACAGATCACCCCTTTGTGAGTGTTTGACATTTTCTGCAAAATTTTGCACCAACCAAGGACATATTCTTGGAAACATTCACACTATGTTTGTATGTCATATTTTGTAAATATGAAATACGTATGATATATATCTTTCATCTACGCTAAAGATATACAGCAGTTTCGTCGACAGCATAAATGACTAGCCGTATTGTTAGTAACTGACGGACATTATTTCAAAGTGTAATGACTGAAGTCAACCTACACATAGGTAATGTCGTCATAAGCAAACCATATACGTGACCGCCAGTCTCTACCCCGCCGTCAGTCGAGGTGCCGTCGCGTCATGTCACCTAAATATGAAAAAAATGTGATATTTCCCAAATTTGTTCTAAGGACATCTGGTAGTGTCCACCGTATGCGTTGAATATCCCTGAGCTATGATTACGACAGTTATTGACGTCCTTGGAAATTTTACATCAAGGCTAGCCCCCAACCTTAGTAGTATAGTCTCCTTGCAGATCTCTATTGGTGTCAAAGCAATCACTTCCACCTTCGACGATCACTTCTAGACAAGTTTTATGTCCGCGTAAACTTGAACCTTTTATACGATCGACATATGTCGTCCGAAAATTCCAAGTCAGTTCTGTATCAGTTCTACCCAATACTAGCTTGTAGTGTTTTCCATTAGCCACCAGCATATATTTTAACTGAATTTCTCACGTCCACGAGCTTCTATACAGTGATGACTGGCTCAGACCTAGATGGACAATAATATGAAGTTGACCCATGCGTATAGCTGATAATTTCAGAGCTTGTAACATCCAGTCGGCACCTGACAAAATTTGTCAGGAGTCCCGCTCGATCGTATGGTCCGTATCCGTCCAGACTGTATCATGGCCTTAGGACGAGTCAACCGATATACGAAGAAAAAAAAATCCGAATTTCTTTTTGACTTCGTAGCCGAAATATCAAATAACCTCCTTAGCGTTTTGCACATGTGTCATCAGCCCTAAGTTGTCGCTCCGCTTGATAATACCTTTCATATGCTGTATGGTCTTATTCAACGCGGAAATCGATTGTTGAGTCTCAGATAGTCAAATGGTTTAGCGTAGTATATACCTCTGCTTTGGTATTCATCCGGTATCGAATCAGAGGAAATTTATGTCGCCACCTCATCAGTATGCAATGGCAACTGCAGATGAATTCTAAGCAGTCGTTTCAACAATCGGACAAAGGTTTTCTTGTTCACGTAGTATATTCATTCATCGTGTAGAAAAAAACATATCTAATTAATTTTAGTTAGCTTAACATGTGAGGAACGTATTGTAATAAACAAAGTAGTTCTGTTACTTAAAAATGCGGTCAATACCAAGTAACACTTAATATGAATGATAAGTTTGAAATAGGTGAACTCAGTCAAAAGTGCCATTGGAAATGGCGCAACTGCTATATTTATTATTCGCGATCCTATGTGAAACGTGACTTTCTCTACCATCGGGTTATGGGAAAATGCCAGTCTCTATGGATCCCATATCCCTCATTAAATTCTCTATTCCACTAATCGTCCCGGTCCTCTGGTCCAGTCCTCAATTTCCCCTATGTCCGGTTCTCTGGTCCGGCCCTCAAATATTCCCCTAGGCCCGGTCCTCTGGTCCGGTTCTAAGATACGGTCCTAAATATCCGCCTAGGGTACTTTGTCCACAGAGTATGTCCCCCTAATGTGTAACATCAAACCTTGTAACGATGATTGAACGCTCTCAGCAACCTGAATATGATCGTCCATAACCATATCATCATAATCTGGTCGCCCCCAATAGACTGTGTCCGCTTTTTTCATAATATTTTGCTATATCTTTAAGAGCCACTTTCGTGAAGAAGAAAAATTACTCCGGTACAAGTGCGGAAACAAGTTACTTAGAATAAATGAGGTATGACACACATGACGGAGAAACGTTTTTGTGCAGCTAATAATTGTGTTATCGACACAAGTGTTCATCAACAAGTGTTTTTTTATACTCGGAGGGTTTTACGCACACGGAGCTCTTTACATGGTGCTGACGTCAATACAAGAGTACAAATTCATGTTAGGTGTCAGAGAGGCGACACAGACGATAAGATATCCAGGGGTCGCGGCTAGAGTTCCTATGATGAGACGACACAATGAGGCTGTGTGTATTACATTGTATAACATGGTGTTGGGGACGTCAATCAGTTACACTCGAAAACTTTGCTGTGTGCTGTCGAATATAACGCAAATAATTATGAGGCAGTGTGAAGGTGACCAGGACGTTTTTTTACAAGGTGATACATCTAAAGCTGGACGACAACGTGATGTGGCTTGACGATTGGTCGACAATTGACTGCCGAGCGGTGGCGTTACCATGAGAGGACGTGCTATGGATTGATGAAGAATTGCTGTTTTCCCAAGGGACTTTGGTGCTTCCACGGGAGAAACTGCTGTGGATCGTTTCTTGCTAATGGGATTTGGTGCTGTCGCGGGAGAAACTGCCGTGGCCGGAAGAAGGATTGATACTGGGATACTACGCTGGGGAGTTACCACTAGAGAATTTGTCGAGTTTGGAAGCGGATTACAACGGCGAGATTGTGTTCCGCATCGCCAAGGATAGACGGGGCAACGATCAAACACGAAGATAGATTCTATTGTTGGTGACACAAGCCAACTACCAGTTGATTACGTCTTCAGGAACACAAGGGATACAGTCGATTGCAAGGCCAAATAAATTAAGGTATGATCTGCCTTGTTCAGTGGTATGGATGACCAAGGCGGTGACAATACGCAAGCGCGTTTATATGTTCACGTACAAGAGCATTATGTATTGGTGTATGTAAATAAAACCGACAACAGAGAAAGTTGCTGGTGTGAATTACAGGTATGCGCGTGTCAAGAATAGATGTTTAAATAGACTGTATATTATCGAGTATATATGATATTGACATATACACACACTCTCCGTAAATTCTCTATCAAACAAAGCAACACATACAATTTTTAGTATATTTTTAAATAAGATACATTTATTTTGATTAAGCTATTATGGCTGAGACACGACATACATAAAGCATACACACTCGCTGACACACCGTTGGTAGAAACAAATACAAAACATCAATCATACAAAGGCATGGCTTGTCGTAGCAAAACACTACGCAGTAATGCAAATAATATTAACATACACACAAGTACAAGACGCTATGCGTCATGCATAGCATATTTCTACAAATAAATTGAAGTCGATCAAACATTTAACACCCTGTTGACTACTCAGAGCTGAGCAACCCTGAGGACACGCCGTATTGAACTTTGCGCGAAAAATTGAGAGCCGGTATGCAATCCGCTGCCTCAAGTGTGTTGAATAGTCGTCCAGAGTGGTGTTGAGTTGGTTAACATTCTTACGTAATAGTCGGAACGTGTTACAATATTACGTAGGAGACGGAACATGTACAACATCATTACGCAAGAGTCGAAACATGCAAACCTTGCTACGTAACTAGTCGGAACGTGTAGCGCTATTACGTAGGTGGCGGACCATGTATAACATTATTTCGCAAGAGTTGGAACATGTAACATCATTACGTAGAAGTCGAAACGTGTATAGGCGCTGTTGTAAACTTCGATGTATATTTCTATGTTTTAAACTATGTTATACGAACTAAGATACAATTTAAGTCAGTTAGGATTTAGCAGTGATAGCTTGTGTAAGAATGATCGGAATTGCCTCTTGGTAAGAGCCTTAATATCCTCGATCCCACAGGACGTACCTCTAGCTGTTCTTTATTGAATAATTTTCACTAGAAGTACTAATTGTTCATGACCACATGTCTAATTTGTAGATAGACATAGGAACGTAAGTCAAGTTAATACATTAGCTAATATAAATAAAGTTCCATCTTAAGAAAAGTTAAAAAAAGAAAAAGACTTGTTGGATTTTGGAGATTGGCGGGAAGACCAAAACCTGTAAGTAGTAGTTCAGAGATTATAAAATTTCGTTTATAATATCCTACATCTAATGTCTCAAATAGGTC